GCAGCGGCGTCGGCCAAAGTGGTGCTGCGCCAGCTACATCTCTGGCTTGGCGTACCGCTCGCGGAGGGCCTAAAGGATGTTCCTCCCCGCGAGATTAACCCGTTCCTGGGCGTTGTCACGGACCTTTCTCAGTTCCGGCAAGGCATAGTGTTCATGCAATCTAAGCCCGAGAGGATTGCAAAGCTGATTGACTCCATAGAGCGGTACCTCGAGCACGGCATACCGTCAGCCGAGGCGAGGCACTTCTTCGGCAAGCTGGAGTTCGTCCGCTCATCAGCAACCGCCGGGCGCATTGGCAGAGCCGCTATAGGGATCCTCCGCCGTGCCACCGGGGCGGGAGGACAAAGCGGAGCCCTCGACGAGAGCGTCACTGCGGCCGTCGTTAGGGAGGCACTGATCTTCCTCTATTTCCTGCTGCCGCGCATCCCCCGGCGCAGGTTTCACTTTTGCGGCGACCGCCACTCGCGCCCGCCGATAGCTCTCTACACGGACGCGATGTACGAGGCCAAGGCGGCACAGCCGGCCCGGATCGGTGTCGCGCTATATGACCCGCTTGATACGGAGTCTCGCTGGCGCGACTTGTCTATCGAAGTCCCGGCCCGTATCATCGCCGGATGGGCTAAGCGCGAGCAGTACATCACGCAGTTGGAGACGCTGGCGCCGCTCGTCGCGATCCTGTCCCGACCAGGCCAGTTCCGCGGCAGGGACGTGATCTGCTTTGTGGATAACACCGGCGCACTGTTCGGTCTCGGTAAGGGCGATTGCAAGGACGCGGACTGCGCGCGCCTCATCCACATTTTCCACACCCTGTGCCTGGCGCTCGACATCAGCGTCTGGTTCGAATACGTCGCGTCGGGGGCGAACCTCGCTGATCTCCCGTCCCGGGGGGATCGGGAGCTACTCATTGAGATGGGCAGCACGCCCTTCTCACACGTCGAATGGCCGGACCTCGCGGCCGACCTGTCCCGCTCCTTCCAGTCGATCTGGGAGCGCTTCGCCCCCCGACCTAGCACGGGCGACAAGCGGCGGCGCGCGGCGATCGACCGCGCAATCGGCGACCTGCGGGACCCGGTGCCGAAGGCGCCCTGCTGCAGCAACTCGCGCAGGCGCGCACGCATTCGCGAGGGACTGCGCGACGATATCGGGAGCCGCTAGGAGCCTTCCCAGCCCTACCTCTGCGGCACTCTAACCACGTATCAGCCTCCGCCTAGCATACGTGGACCCACCGAGCCAATATGGGAGCAGCCTCGTGGCGAGTGCCCCACGGGCCTTGCTATACGAGCGCCGCCCCGGCTCCTACCGGCATGGCCGGGAGGGGCGCGAGTGGCCTAGTCCACAAGACTGGCCTCTGGAGCTCGCGCCTCTCGTCATCCATTGAGCACTTTAGTGCGAATATCCAGACCTGTCTGTGTCTCCTGTGTACCCTCTCTCGCACAGAGATGTGGACGAGTGAAGAAATCGCAGACAACATGCCGCCTGGCTCCGACCCCTCGCCCGAGGGCGGTTCGGAGCTGGAGCGGCTCGAGACTCTCACAGAGACGCTTCGCGGCAAGCTGGCCGCGGCGATGGCCAGAAAGGCGGACGGCGCCGCCGGCGGGAGCGACGCGGCCGAGCTGGTCGCCGGCTCGGGGCTGGCGTTGCTCGAGCTCAAGCAGCTCAACCGTCGTGTGTGGGAGCTGGTGGGGGAGTATAAGGAGGGCACGCAGCGGGCCAACGCGGGGGTCGACGCCGCCGAGCTCAAGCTTCAGAATCTGCAGTACGAGAAGAACCACTTTCTGCGAGAGATCACGCACCTGCGCGACTTTCGGCAGGACGCGGGCCCGCGGATCGAGCTGCTGCCCGAGAGCGAATTCGCGGCGGCGGCCCCGGAGGAGCTGCGCGGCACGTCCAAGGCGGCCGACCCGCACCAGTTCCACCTCAACCGCCTCGAGCTCGAGCGGAGGCAGCGCGAGTCGCTTTGCGGCGAGCGGGACGCGAGGGCGGCGGAGCGCACGGCGGCGGCGGAGCGGAATGCGGAGAAGCGGGCCTTCCTGGAGGGGCTGCAGGCGCAGCTGGCGTCGCTCACCACCATCTCGCTCCCGCTGCAGCGCCTCCTCGAGCAGAAACCCAC